GTAATTAAGATATGTATAAGCTAAAAAATTATTGATAAATGTAAAAATGATGTTCTTACTGAATTGATATAATTAGAAATGTACTAACCTGGATATGAGACAGTAAATGTTAAGGGAAAAAGAGAAGAAATATTTGATGTTGTAACTTGAGATTTGCACTAAGACTTTATTGTTCAACTATTGATTAACCCAGTCACCATGTTGCTTTTTAAATATTCAAATGTAAAATTGGAAAATTAATAAAATATTATATAAAAAAATCAAGAGCTTTAACGTACAGCCCAAAGTCTTGTTTTCACGTGGGTTTCAAAGCTTTTGTGCAAAAAAAAATTGCCCAACTTAATGTTATGATATTTTAGCAATTGTGCCAGCGCTGTTTCGAAATTCACCCCAAACTTAATTATCTGGCCCAATTGTTCCTAACAGAAAAAAAATCAGGAGGAATGGGATCCTGATGAAATCTGCGTACAAGAGATCGCAGTTTGCAAAATTACCAATATTCCCAACTGGATTTCAGAAACAATATTCTGTTTAGTAAATTTTCATAGCCGGGAGCAGAGTCTCCACAGGATATGGTTAAAGATGTCAAGATGGCAGCCGTGTGGGGCAAACAAATTTCCACCTTTTTTGTTAAGTGCTCCTGGATATTTTTTAACTATATCCTGTGAATATTTGGGGGGGGGGAAATAAATTTGGCCTGTCTTCCTTGCTTGCCCAAATTATATATAGTACATCTCCACAAATGTGGTAGGCTTCAAGCATGACAGGTATTTGTTTGTGAATTGGGAGCAACTGGCCATCCTTCCAAGAAAGCTAAGAGCAGAGAGAATCACCTCCTCCTCTGCTTCATTTATTTCACTTTCATTTCCAGATTGTTCTTCAATCTCTACTCCACCTTCCTCTTCGTCCTCATCCTCCTCCAGGTTCTCTCCTTCAGTCATGGAATCCTTAGAGTCTTTGTCATTCATAAGACCTAAAGGGGGGAAGGAAGAAGAAACAAATAAGTAATTTCTTATTAAAAGCTGAACAGAACAGAAAAAATAACACAGAGCAATGAAGAGATGAAGAAAAAAAGGAAGGAAGGAAGAAAAAAAGAAAGAAAGAAAGAAAGAAAGAAAGAAAGAAAGAAAGAAAGAAAGAAAGAAAGAGGGAGGAAGGAGGGAGGGAAGACAAAAAAGTTTCCAATCTACTTTGCAGCAAATAGAAGTACAATTACAAAATATTTTCTTACTCTATGACAGGGGTAGGCAACCTTGGCTCTTTTATGACTCGTGGACTTCAACTCCCAGAATTCCTGAGCCAGCCACGCTGAGGGGAAAGGGAGGGGTTTCCAAGCTGAGCCATGCTGGCTCAGGAATTCTGGGAGTTGAAGTCCATGAATTATAAAGCGGCCTAGGCCTAGGCCAGAGGTAGGCAACCTTGGCTCTTTTATGACTCGTGGACTTCAACTCCCAGAATTCCTGAGCCAGCCATGCTGAGGGGAAAGGGAGAGGTTTCCAAGCTGAGCCATGCTGGCTCAGGAATTCTGGGAGTTGAAGTCCACCAGTCATAAAAGAGCCAAGGTTGCCTACCCCTGCTCTATGGTTACAAAAAAAGCTCACTTTTTTCTATTTATCCAAGTTTTTTTCCCCCATCACCCCATTCCCACAAATCGTAAGAGCACTTTTTCCATTTCATGCAAAAAGTCTATAATGGGTTTTCAGTCAGCCATAAATTTAGATGTTTTTTTCTCCGAAAAAAAGAAATTAATTTAACCCTCTCTGTAAACTCCATCATATTCACCAACCATTCCACCGTAGTGTCAAACCTTGCCACTTCTGAGCATATTAATAGTTGCCTGTCCTTAGTCATCAAAGTTCCTGGTTTCAGTTGTAAGAACAAGAAACAACGATGAAAGCAGACATTTGGAAAAATCCTACAGTTATGATCTGGCTAAAACTATAAGGAGGTTGGCAGTGTTGCAATCAATGGGACGTACCCTGAGGTACACCAAGCTGCAAATTGTTTAAGTCAGTGGTTCTCAACCTTTTTAATGCCGCGACCCCCAACCGGTCGTAAGTCAAGGACTAAACCGGTCGTAAGTCGAGGACTAAACCGGTCGTAAGTCGAGGACTACCCAACCGGTCGTAAGTCGAGGACTTTCCCTGCCCGGGAGCGCCGCACATGCGTAGTTCCGCCCCCTGCGCTGGCTGAGGCGTAGTTGGCAAGTGGCAGAGACGGAGCAGGCCGACCACCAGCTGGCCCAGCTCAAGGGAGGTAAGGCACCTGCCGGAAAAGGGGGAAAAAAATGGTGGACAGCCTTGCTTGGCGACCCCCGTGAAATGGTTGATCGACCCCAAATGGGGTCGCGACCCATAGGTTGAGAACCGCTGGTTTAAGTTGAGATCACCGCCATACTGAGTATTTGGTGTGTGCGTTTGAAGAGGGCAAATGAATAAGGAACAACAAAAAGGAAATGTTATCACTGGGAATCTGTTTTTATCTACAACTTTGCCTTCTTGTCATTCAAATCCCCCATTTTGCACCCTGAGTCCTCCGGGAGAAGGGCGGGGTATAAATGAAATAAATAAATAAATAAATAAATAAATAAATAAATAAATAAATAAATAAATAAATAAATAAATAAATAAATAAATAAATAAATAAATAAATAAATAAATAAATAAATAAATAAATAAATAAATAAATAAATAAATAAATAAATAAATAAATAAATAAATAAATAAATAAATAAATATGTGATACAATATGTGATACCCTTGTACTATCCTAGTCTCCTCAAGCACCTTGATTCATTACACTAATCCTATTCCCACAATCGATGAAGGAAGTTCCTCGATGGAAAAAAAAATAAAGCGAAACCAAAATATCAAGATTAATTCTAGATTAATTCAATCTGATTTCTGGTGATTGCCAGGTCATTTTTCAGGCTG